TACTGTTTTTTGAGTTATAGGGAACTGATATTTTGTTTCATTTCGTTGTTTACAATGAATTTTTATCAGTTTATCAACCTTTTGTTAATTTGTGCTTAGGCTCGACTAATTTGAGATTTATAGGCATCCAGAACTCCAGAATATAAAAGTTTATTGTTATTTCTTATTCATTGAATGTTATTCCAAGAAAATATATCTAGAAGTCTGCTTCGAGTGTCTTCCAATTTTTTTTCAACTTTTTGTTCAGGGAAAAGAATTTTTTTCCACTTTTCCTGTTTTTTTTTCTAATTGTAACATCTCTAACCTCTACAGGGTGGGCCACCACTAACGCCTCGGTCGCTAGGGGCCAAACGGCAAATAGAAACCTGTTTAAGTCGGTATGTGTAGGTTGATTACGGCTACATTTTAAAAATATTTTGAAATATACGAGGTGTCCAGGAAAAGCGCACCATATCAAACTTATGTATTTTTAAATGGAACACCCTTTATTTTACTACATTTTTGAAGGCACCATAAAAAGGCACTAGGTTCTGCATACCTAGGACTTATTATTGTTTGTGAGATATTTCAATTTTAGTGAAAATACAGGCTTAGCGTAGAAATTTAATATTAGCAATAAAAAATTAATTTTAAGGAAGCAGCTTTGCAGAGTGTATTTTAGATCCTTGAAGTTATAAATTATTATATTTGTCGTCACTTAGTATTGTACAGGGTGTTCAAAAAATACTGAATACTTCTCTCCACTTTAAATAGCAATATCTTCGTTATTTTAAATGGGACATTTAAAAATATTTTTAAAATGTTTCCTACAACCTACACATACCCACCTAAACAGGTTTCTATAACATTTGCCGTTTGGTCCCTAGCCACCGAGGCATTACTGGTGATCCACCCTATATATACATACTATATATACATATAATACATTTTGCACAGTATTAAATTTACGTGATCGTCCAAATAAAAATCCGCCAGAACACGAATTTCGTATTTTTTTTATTTTCGATCGTTTTGTTCTCAAAATAGGAACAAGATATAGTCTATCTATGGAAGGAGTTGAAAGGAGGTAAGTGGAAACATATTAGATGTTTTTTTTTTCTTTAAAATTCCAATAATACATTGTAGTAATGCCAATTAATTATGAATCACATAAATAACCAATTCTTTTCCATCATTTAATATGCGTAGGATGCCTCTAGATGGTCAAGCAAAAAAATTTTTATTGCCTGAAAATGGTGTGCCATAAATTGCTGCCATATTCAGCGGTATCTCTAAAAACATTCTTTTAGAACGTGACAAAATTCTGCAAAAAGCTAGTTTCTATAATATTTCTTTACATTCCTTCAAATATCTTTACCTATTTGGATATTTAAACCTCATTTCTTTAAAATTATCAGACAGAAACAGACTATTAAGAAAACTACGTGGTCTAAGTATTTGAGCAACGATTAAATTGAACTTGATAAATTTCTCAATACAGAACATACGATGTATGTACGTATATCATGTATTCCAGACCTCTATTTTGACAGCCACATTTAGAAAATCGTTGTGACAATATTTGATTAAATTCATTTCTATTCGAAAAATAAAACACAACAATGATTTCTATTTAAACAGTTTCCAACGGTATGAATGAAAAAATCCAAGTGTTTCTAAGGTACAAATGCTATGGTTTCACGGTATTTGCCGGCAAGGACAACATTGTTATTGACACAGATATATATTGTTTACATAACCAATAGAACAATGTGTGTAGAAATAATATGGGCAAGAGACGAGTTTCCTAACCTAGCCATATAAAGGAAAGGCTTAGATGTGTATCTGCGGGTTTATAGAAATGGATAGGCATCTACCCGGTGCCCCGTGTTTACTTATATGCTCACCATCGTGATCTTCTAATGAAACGTAGATATATCTAATGTTATTCTGAGAAAGTGAATACGTGGAAAATGTGTTTTAATATATGCAGGCCTGGAAGCATATATTTACGTAAACCTTAAAGTAGAAAGTAGTCTCTAAATCAGGAAAAAAAATGTCTTACTTTGAAAGACCATATGAAGTAAGGTAAACCAAAAACATCCTAGTGTGTTGTTACATTTGAATTTTTCAAGAAATTGTTAAAATATTTCAATTTCTTAAGGATACACTGAGTAAATTATTATCTAATATCAAACTAACCTGTAAGTTCAGGTATGATTCGGTTAAATTTTCGGTTAAGAGTTTATTATCTATGTAGAGTAATACATATTTTTTTATAATTTTATATTTAAATTATTATAAGTTTGAAAGTAGTTAAATCGTACACATTTCAAGACTTATACTAATATTAATATTAAACTTTAAGAATGATAAATATTAAATAAACTATTACTGCTAAAATGCATTGAAATAAATAAGAACATATTTATTTTAATATTAATATGCCTTCATCAGTTACCAGCAAACTTATTAAACTAGTTAAAACGAAACGAGTCTATTTAACTTTAATAACTAGACTTATTTACAGTGTGCGTTATTTTCATGCGCAAAGACTAAAATAAAGATTGCAATGGAGAGCGCAGGTCCAATGTCCACAAACTATTGAGACAAGCTCATACAAGCTTGTCCATGTCTAGGAAATATAACTAATTAAAAAACAATAATTAAAGTTATACAGTTAGATATTACATTTTGTAGAAGATTTACTATATTATACAAGTGAATGAACTTATTTTTTTGATGGCAGTGATTTTGGACGAGGCTGAAAAACAAAAAAACAATCGTGATATTTTCGTATTCGCCTTTTAATTTTCTACAAATTACTACCCACCTATGTTTTTCGAAAAAAAAACTAATTTTCGAGTAAAACTTAAAAAACGAATTGAAAACGCCGAACCTCAACCCACTGGATTTCTTTTAGTGGGGTGCTTTTACACGACTAGTATACAGTGAATAAATTAATACACCTGAGCAGTTAGAAGAAAGAATAAATAATGCTTTTTATCAGATTTAAGCAACAATAAATTTCAAGCAAATTACATTTTCGTTACTAAAAAGATGTCGCGTCTATGTTCGTGGAAATGGAGGTATTTTTGAACATTTGCTCAAATAAAATCATTAAAATGAGGATTAATGTTATTAATTTCTTTATTCGATTATATAACTGAGTGATTAGTGTTTGTCATATCATTTAAGTAAAAGTATTTTCAGTTCGTTTTTTAAGTTTTACTCGAAAATCAGGCTTTTTTCTAAAAATATAAGAGAGTAGTAATTTGTAGGAAATTGAAAGACAAATCCGAAGATTGTTACCGTAAAGCAGTGGTGTACTATTTTATTTAGAAAAATATTCCACCGATTCCCTGTAAAAACACTTAATTAAATATCCTCTAGTTTGTAGGTAGGTACTACACTTATTAAAAAGTAAACCATTATGTCGAAACTCATATAGTTAAACTTGCTTAAAATACTGTTGCTTCCATATTATTTCAAAATACTTACACATAAACAAAACACGTCATTGAAAAACTTACATAATACTTGTACCAAGTATTCCTATAGTCCAGGAGAATTAAGCTCAAACCTTCCAGATGTGGATGTTGCTTGACGTAGATTACATATTAGTAAAAATCGCTCGAGAATAATATGTACAATGAAAATATAAGTTAGTGCCAAGAAAAATAGTTATGCTATTTGCAGGAAAAATTAAAATACGCTTTAGTATTTCGTTTTGTAATACCTAATTGAATGTACTTAAATCCATATTTAGGTATAATAGAATTGGACCATTTCTTACCTGTCAGTTGAACACATCAAAGCTATACTTCTACTACTTTTTACGTTGTTTTGGCTATCTAACAACAAAAACAGGACATACGCGAGTATCAAAACAATGTTGTAGGAAATTTCATAATAAACAATTTCCTTAGCGATGGTTCTTTCTTTAAACCTCATATTTACAAAGTTATATTGGAAAATGTGAAAAAAAATACGTAATTTTTGCATATTTTTGCACTTTCTCTGTAAAAAGCACACCTTTTTTCCCTGGCGCTAACTTATGTTTTCATTGTATACCTATATTACCTATTTTTCAGCGATTTTTTCTAATATCTTATTTACGTCAAGTGACAGCCATGCTAATATGTACCCAATTCTCCTAGACCACTAGAGGTATTTAAAAGCACACAAGCAAACAAGTAAATAAGTAGTATTGCAATTTATTTTTCATGAACAATTTTTACACCAGACAGGTAAGTATACCTATTCTCTAGGAAATCATTTAATTTTATACCTATTTTTTATTTCTCTGCACTGTACTGTAGTTTCAATAATCCTTGCTATTGTTTATTGTATCGTTTACGACATTTAATTATTCTGTTGCAGTAAAAACAAGTAGCCTAATTGACATAGAAACATGCCACATAAAGGTTATCCAGATTCCAGATGGTTCCAATATACAGAAAACAATTCTCCCTTCAGTATATTATTACATCGCCATATAAAAAAATTGTTTTACACATACTTCTTACTTTCACAATAGGCATTTCTATAATGATGAATCTGTTAAAGGTAAAGAAAGTGCAAAATCAATTTTATCACATTTGGAATGTCAAGATTTCGTCGTCTCATCTATAATTAAAATCGCTCCGCAGCCAAGACGTTTCTAGTTTCAAAGCGGCCCTGAACTTTATTATTTTAATATTAAATTACGTAAGATTAAACAATCCTTTCTACGATTTCAAATAATACCACCTCAAAATGTTAAAACCATTAACTTTATTCGCGTAGAGAGGTTATATTATATTTAGCGAATTATGTCATATTCTATAAGTACCAGGATTTGAAACTCATTACTTTGTTTGTCGATATTATGCTCAATTTAAAAGCACAGAATAACCAGGGAACCTTAAGCAGCCTCCTAATTATCGTTAAAAAAATAATAAAAGTTTGCGAATAACAGTAGCCAAAAGCAACCTTGTCCCCATTGCTATATTTCTTAAAAAAATATCTCCCACACTTACAGATGTCAGAACTGTATCCACATGACACTCGACACACACTTTTTGCAGTGTTTACGGGCACAGATTCACTGGACAATCGCGATTTTTCCTCGATCGAAACTGACAGAAAGGTTGCGTGACGGCGTAGCGCGTATTGGAGTTATTACTGGATGACCGCCGTGGCCATGTTAATGTCGACACTGAGTCCTCCGGTTCTCGCTACGATTTCGCCTGTCTCCCCGTCTACCCGCGTTCACCTGTTTCCGGAGAGCGAGGAGAGGTCATACCGCCTCGGTGAAATCGAAAACACAGCGAGCTTCGGCTTCGTATATCGCTTAACTATGTGAAATTCGTGAAGCAGGTGTACCTATGCCATTTTCAAGTAGGCATTCTGTGATTTGAAATGCACACTTTTTTATAGAAAGAGTGTAACTGAAAGCTGGCATACTACACTGTAAGAGAATTGGGTGAAATTTCATTCAAATTGCACTCAAAATGTCCGCGCCCGATTGAGTGAATTTTTCACTGTATTAGCGTACAATTGAAATTTTATGAATAAAGCTAGTGAGTAATTTTATTCAAATCTGAGTTTTTGCCAGCTGTCCATTGAGTGACTTACTTTATTCTGAGCATATAAGAGCAATTGACTATTTCTTTAATATAATTAATTAAAATATTGAACAATTTTTTACTCAAACTTAAATTAATTAAATTATATATTCTATTCCCAACTAGCACACATCGTTGTATTAACGTAATAGTCACTATCGAGGCGACAATAAAGTGTTTGGCTACTAATGATAGGAACTTCCCAAATACCATAAGTTGTTACATTTTATTTACCAATGTGGGGAATGATTTTCCGGTAGAAAAGTAGATCCAATAACGAATTTGGAACTTATTTCGCCACTACCTTTAAAGTAATGGCTTAGTTATATAGAAGAAACTGTTAAGTCACAGAATAGTAAATGTTACTTTTCTAGTTGTCGTTCTTTCCCTAATAACATTTCTATTTCATCTATTTAAAATTTAACATAGTAATACCATTGTGTTCATGAATCCCTAATTTCCATTTGTTACCTTAAAGTATCTAAAGTTTTAATTTTACACTGAAAGAAATGGGCTTATTAAACTGTTTATCTAGAATAATGTGTATAGCGCATATTAAAACTTTTATAACCAATATACAACTTTTATTAAAAAAAAGCAACGATCTCCATACTCCTTATTCAATGAATTTAACTGGAAGGTGCTTAATACACCTTATGCATCTATGAAATAAAGGTTATAATGAATTACTTATACATTATTAGGTGTTATAGACTTTAT